AGATCTGTGCGCCACATCTACCGCACTCTGACCAGCCATTGTTAACAGCATTTGTTCCAGGACGTGCAACAGAGGAATGACGTCGTTCATCCCATAGTCCTGCCGACTCACGAATAGCGTGGCCTCCTCAAAGGGCCTGAGCAAGCGGCAGGTGTCACGCATGAGCTGCCAATGGCTGACATCTAAGTTACACAGGGAGTACCTTTATCCGCTTGTAACATCAGGAAATCGGTGATGGCCTTTCGCTGTTCGTAAAGGCGGTCTAACATATGTAGGGTTGAATTCCACCTTGTTGCAACGTCGCAGATCAGGCGATGCTGTGGAATTCCGTTCTGCCACTGCAGCTCAAGGAGGGTGTGCTTTGCGGTGTAGGAATGGCTGAAATGCATGCAAAGTTTACGTGACATTTTAAGGATGTCTTGCAGTGGGATGGTGGATTTTAGGAACCGCTTGACAACCAGATTGAACACGTGAGCCATGCATGGCGCATGGCACAACCTTCCTTTACGCAGAGCAGACACCATGTTCTTTCCGTTGTCGGTCAACATGGTTCCGATTTTCAGTTTGCGCGGAGACAGCCATCTGTCGATTTCTCTGTTCGTTACACTCAGAAGTTCCTCCCCTGTGTGACTACGTTCGCCAAGGCATACCAGGTGCAGCACAGCGTGACACCGTTGCGCCCTGCACATGTGATATGCCGGTCGGGTAATGGGACTTGGCACGGGGGTGGCGGCTGAGGACACGGCGGAAGAAGAGGTGGTAGAGGCGGACATCTTTTCTGGACCAAGGACGTGCAAACATGGAGGCAAAAGCGGCGTGACCTGTCCAAGTTGCTGGTGCGGCTGTGCCGGCACCACGTTCACCCAGTGGGCCGTAAATGACATGTACTGTCCCTGACCGTAGTTACAGCTCCACACGTCGGCGCTGCCGTGCACTTTGGCAGAGACCGACATGCTCAAAGACTGGCCCACCATCTCTTGTACATGTGAATGCAGGGCTGGCACTGCCTTTTTGGCGAAGAAATGCCGGCTTGGCACTCTCCACCGCGGCTCGGCACAAGCCATCATTTCTCGGAAAGGTGCTGAGTCCACCACTTGGAAAGGGAGGGACTGCAGCACCAGCAACTTGGACAGGAGGACGTTCAGCTTTTGCACCGTCGGTGTGCGTGCTCGCAAACTGTTGTCTCTTGGAAACGGATTCCAAGAAAGACTGCTGATGGAATCCGTGAAGAGGAGTAGCAGGAGAAGGAGCATCTGAACGAGCGGAAGATGCCAACGAGCGACAACTCCCCTCAGCAGAGGTGTTGGAGCCTTGACTGGCTGATAGAGGGCGATTGACGTTGGGTGACGGAGCAAGTAACGGAGCGGGTGATGGAGCGGGGGGGCTGGGGCAGGCAGAACCGCTGAATCTTTATCATGGTTTTCCCAGGCCACCGAATGGTGACGCTGCATATGCTGACGCAACGCTGTAGTCCCAACATTGGCCCCCTGGCCACGCTTGACTTTCTGGCCACATAGTCGACATACGGCTACGTTTACTTCCTCGGGCGGCTTGACGAAAAATTGCCACATCGCCGAGTAGGAAACTTTGCCCCCGCTACTCCTCACTGGCTGACTGCTACTTCCTCTGTGCACACCGGCACCACTACTGGCCGTGGTGGTAGGCTGCAGTGGAGCTGGTGCTCTACTCCGTGGCCGTTTGCCTCCACTGACACTGCTGCGACCCTGCTGCCTCCTGGGCAACCCACCGACTGTTTTGCTCGCTGGCAAGCTGGCACCCTCTTCTCCTGATGATGCGGAAGCAATAGCCTGATGACGACGAGGCTGCCAAGTGCGATCAGCCTCATCATCATCAATTAGGGTCTCCGCGTCACTACTAGCCCCCTCGGCTGCGTGTGGGTCAGGAGACAGACCTGTCTCTAGACCGGCTACCGAGCCACTCTCCTCGCCAGTACTTCTTCGCCTGGCTGCTGAAGAGGCGGATGTCTCCCCCCGTTCCTGACCGCCCTCTGTTAGCTCTTCCTCACTGTACAGTGGGGCTGAGCCCACAGCATGCGATACTTCGCTTGGTGAGGGAACACCAAAGGACAGGGGCAGGTCGAGGACACGTGATTTCTGTGGGCTTGCTCCCGGGCCATGCCAACTAACGGTTGTGTCTGACGTACCCACCGACCGTTGGCTGTAGGTGTCAGAGGTGACCTGGGAAGAGGAAGACGACCGAGTCAACCAATCGATGACGGCAGGGTTGTCGGTGGAGACACGACCGCTGGATGACACCGGGAGCACTGGCCTCTGGCTGCGACTACTGCTGCCTCGACCCCTTCCTCTGCTGCCACGTCTGCTCGCTCCTGAAACATTGCCTCCTCTGCCACTCCTCTGTGTCAGGAATGGACTGGCCAGCAATGGTGGGACTCACCTGCCTTTTGATCTGCAGTACCAGGGCTGGCCAGCGGGTGCTCCCAGCAATCAGAGACTCAACTTTGCAGCCAGCTAACACCTGGAACTGATTATGCTGGGGTATTTAAGGGATGGCCAGACCCACAGACTCTGCCTTGGTGTGTGTTTGTCCTGGGCCCTGTATCTGTGCTGCATCCTGTTTCTGTTCCTTTGCTGACCCTCTGTACTATGCTGCTTGCTACCTGTCCTGATCCCTGGCTTGTGACCCTGACCATCCCTCTGCCTGACCCTCTGTACTACGCTGCTTGCTACCTGTTCTGATCCCTGGCTTGTGACCCTGACCATCCCTCTGCTTGACCCTCTGTACTACGCTGCTTGCTACCTGCTGAACCTGGCCTGTGACCCGACCATTCTCCGCTTGCTCCCCCTGTACCTACCTGCCCAATTGATATTGACCCGGCCTGCCTGACGACGCTTGCTTGTATGTACTGTTATCTGTGGGTGGTTGGTTTGGTTTGTTTGCACTGTATTATGTTTAGTATTGCACTGCGTTTATGTTTGTATTGTTAGTGTTAATAAATTATATTGTTTATCCCATATCTGAAGTCTGCGTTTCCCTGCGTCAGTCACACATCTCTCTGGTCATACCTGGGAGCCCTGACATTACACCAAGGCCAATCCTGACCAGAAGTGGCTGCACAGGGAAGCCATCTTGGTTTGTTGATGGGAAGGATGGATCTGGATGAGGTTGAGTATTTATCTCTGCTAGTGTTTGATGACAGGGAGTATGCTATCAAACTCTGAAGGAGTATCCCCGGGATGAACTGCTAGAATGTATACGGCTCGCTCATGTTCTAGTAGATCAGGGCACAGAGTTCTCTGAGGTGCAGCCTTTGATTGAGGTTTGTGCAGAGTTGGCTTCATCTGGTTCCCCCGAATGCAGGGATGAATTTTTGCCACCATTTAGTGCAGACCAGGTAGAGTCCCTGGTGTGGTTATTAGAGGATGATGTGGGTTACTTTCTGGAGCGTTATTCCACATGTTCACCACAGACACTAAGAGTTTGTATAAACGCAGTGCAGTCATTGACCAGACAGGCTTTGTGTAAGCTCAGCTTTGTTCAACCCCTACTGCAGACATGGACAGACTTGTTGCACCCAGCCTCAGTCAGCTTACAAAAACCCAGTCCTGCTTCTAACTCTTCTCCTGTATTCCCACCAGCTCCTCCAGTTACAGCCCAGTATACTTGGCTATCTACCGCATGTCAGTACCCTGTTCCCACTCGCTGCACCTATCCTGCCTTTAACCCTGTAAAAAAGCCCTCTGTAGCAACTGCTCCCTCTCCTGTTCCATCCTCCAGTTCTTCTCTGTCTCCAGCTGCTCCATTCGTTTGCAGACCTGCGTTTACTTGCAGTGCTCCAGTAGTTAAAACCAGAAAAAAGCGAAAATTCTTTCCAACCAATACCATCCTGCCAGTATCCAAACTGGTGAACCTGCCTTCCGTGGTTCAGCCTGAAGCCTCTACTCAGCCTGAAGCCTCTACTCGGCCTGAAGCCTCTACTCGGCCTGAAGCCTCTACTCGGCCTGAATCCTCTACTCGGCCTGATGCCTCTACTCGGCCTGAAGCCTCTACTCGGCCTGAAGCCTCTACTCAGCCGGACGCCGGCATTCAGCCTGATGCCCCTACCCAGCATGATGAACTGATCCAGCCTGATGATCCTATTAGGCCAGTTGACTCGATGCCCGCTGTTGATCCAGATGATCCGGTACCTGATCCGGTGCTCGCTGTCGTGCCAATTGACTCAGAGCCCGCTGTCGTACCTGGTGACTCGGTGCCCACTGCCTTGCCAGATGACGCGGTGCCCGCTGGCGAGCCAAATGACCTGATGCCTGGTGACCCAGTGCCCGCTGTCATACCTGGTGACCCGATGCCCGCTGTCGAGCCAGACGATCCAATGCCTGGTGACCCGGTGCCCACTGCCTTGCCAGATGACGCGGTGCCCGCTGGCAAGCCAAATGACCTGATGCCTGGTGACCCAGTGCCCGCTGTCGAGCCAGACAATCCGGTACCTGATGACCCGGTGCCCACTGTCGTGCCTGTTGATTCGGAGCCCACTGCCTTGCCAGATGACGCGGTGCCCGCTGTTGAGCCAAATGACCTGATGCCTGGTGACCCGATGCCCGCTGTCCAGTCAGACGATTCAATGTCTGACCCAGTGCCCGCGGTCATACCAGTTGACTCGGAGCCCACTGCCTTGCCAGATGATGCGGTGCCCGCGGTCGAGCCAAATGACCTGATGCCGGGTGACCCGATGCCCGCTGTCCAGCCAGACGATCCAATGTCTGACCCAGTGCCAGCGGTCATGCCAGTTGACTCGGAGCCCACTGTCGTGCCAGATGACTCGGCGCCCGCCGCTCTGCCTGAGGGCCAAGACCTGTCGCTCCACCTGGGGGTCCGGCGCCTGCCGCTCCGCCTGAGGGCCCGAGACCTGTCGCTCCGCCTGGGGGCCCGAGACCTGTCGCTCCACCTGGGGGTCCGCGCCCCGCCGCTCCGCCTGAGGGCCCGAGACCTGTCGCTCCACCTGGGGGTCCGGCGCCCGCCGCTCCGCCTGAGGGCCCGAGACCTGTCGCTCCACCTGGGGGTCCGGCGCCCGCCGCTCCGCCTGAGGGCCCGAGACCTGTCGCTCCATCTTGGGGTCCGGCGCCCGCCGCTCCGCCTGGGGGCCCGAGACCTGTCGCTCCGCCTGGGGGCCCGAGACCTGTCGCTCCACCTGGGGGTCCGGCGCCCGCCGCTCCGCCTGAGGGCCCAAGACCTGTCGCTCCGCCTGGGGGCCCGAGACCTGTCACTCCACCTGGGGATCCGGCGCCCGCCGCTCCGCCTGAGGGCCCGAGACCTGTCGCTCCACCTGGGGGTCCGGCGCCGCCGCTCCGCCTGAGGGCCCGAGACCTGTCGCTCCACCTGGGGGTCCGGCGCCCGCCGCTCCGCCTGCCTGAGGGCCCGAGACCTGTCGCTCCACCTGGGGGTCCGGCGCCCGCTGCTCCGCCTGAGGGCCCGAGACCTGTCGCTCCATCTGGGGGTCCGGCGCCCGCCGCTCCGCCTGAGGGCCCGAGACCTGTCGCTCCGCCTGGGGGCCCGAGACCTGTCGCTCCGCCTGGGGGTCCGGCACCGCCGCTCCGCCTGAGGGCCCGAGACCTGTCGCTCCGCCTGGGGGCCCGAGACCTGTCGCTCCACCTGGGGGTCCGGCACCCGCCGCTCCGCCTGAGGGCCCGAGACCTGTCGCTCCACCTGGGGGTCCGGCGCCCGCCGCTCCGCCTGAGGGCCCCGAGACCTGTCGCTCCACCTGGGGGTCCGGCGCCCGCCGCTCCGCCTGAGGGCCCGAGACCTGTCGCCCCGCCTGGGGCCCGATGCCTGTCGCCCCGCCTGGGGGCCCGATGCCTGTCGCCCCGCCTGGGGGCCCGGCACCCGCCGCTCCGCCTGGGGGCCCGATGCCTGTCGCCCCGCCTGGGGGCCCGATGCCTGTCGCCCCGCCTGGGGGCCCGATGCCTGTCGCCCCTCCTGGGGGCCCGATGCCTGTCGCCCCTCCTGGGGGCCCGGCGCCCGCCGCTCCGCCTGGGGGCCCGATGCCGGTCGCCCCGCCTGGGGGCCCGATGCCTGTCGCCCCGCCTGGGGGCCCGATGCCTGTCGCCCCCGCCTGGGGGCCCGATGCCTGTCGCCCCTCCTGGGGGCCCGATGCCTGTCGCCCCTCCTGGGGGCCCGGCGCCCGCCGCTCCGCCTGGGGGCCCGATGCCGGTCGCCCCACCCGGGGCCCGGTGCCTGCTGCTCCGCCCGGGGGCCCGGTGCCTGCTGCTCCGCCCGGGGGCCCGGTACCTGCTGCTCCGCCCGGGGGCCCGGTGCCTGCTGCTCCGCCCGGGGGCCCGGTGCCTGCTGCTCCGCCCGGGGGCCCGGTGCCTGCTGCTCCGCCCGGTGACCCGCTGCCTGCTGCTTCGCCTGGTAATCCGATGTGCCTCTGCCCGGAGTCCAGCCCGATGTGCCTCTGCCCGGAGTCCTGCCCGATGTGCCTCTGCCCGGAGTCCTGCCCGATGTGCCTCTGCCCGGAGTCCTGCCCGATGTGCCTCTGCCCGGAGTCCAGCCTGATGTGCCTCTGCCCGGAGTCCAGCCCGATGTGCCTCTGCCCGGAGTCCTGCCCGATGTGCCTCTGCCCGGAGTCCAGCCCGATGTGCCTCTGCCCGGAGTCCTGCCCGATGTGCCTCTGCCCGGAGTCCAGCCCGATGTGCCTCTGCCCGGAGTCCTGCCCGATGTGCCTCTGCCCGGAGTCCTGCCCGATGTGCCTCTGCCCGATGTGCCTCTGCCCGGTGTGCCTCTGCCCGGAGTCCAGCCCGGTGTGCCTCTGCCCGATGTGCTTCTGCCCGGAGTCCAGCCCAATGTGCCTCTGCCCGGTGTCCAGCCCGATGTGCCTCTGCCTGGTGTACCGCTGCCCGGAGTCCTGCCAGGTGTGCCAGTCTTTGATATCCCGCCAGTTACCAGACCCGGGCGGTGGAACATTTTTCCCAGCTAGGACTGTTTGGAGCGTCCTGAGGCCGCTCCTTGAGGGGGGGGTACTGTCAGGAATGGACTGGCCAGCAATGGTGGGACTCACCTGCCTTTTGATCTGCAGTACCAGGGCTGGCCAGCGGGTGCTCCCAGCAATCAGAGACTCAACTTTGCAGCCAGCTAACACCTGGAACTGATTATGCTGGGGTATTTAAGGGATGGCCAGACCCACAGACTCTGCCTTGGTGTGTGTTTGTCCTGGGCCCTGTAATCTGTGCTGCATCCTGTTTCTGTTCCTTTGCTGACCCTCTGTACTATGCTGCTTGCTACCTGTCCTGATCCCTGGCTTGTGACCCTGACCATCCCTCTGCCTGCCTGACCCTCTGTACTACGCTGCTTGCTACCTGTTCTGATCCCTGGCTTGTGACCCTGACCATCCCTCTGCTTGACCCTCTGTACTACGCTGCTTGCTACCTGCTGAACCTGGCCTGTGACCCCGACCATTCTCCGCTTGCTCCCCCTGTACCTACCTGCCCAATTGATATTGACCCGGCCTGCCTGACGACGCTTGCTTGTATGTACTGTTATCTGTGGGTGGTTGGTTTGGTTTGTTTGCACTGTATTATGTTTAGTATTGCACTGCGTTTATGTTTGTATTGTTAGTGTTAATAAATTATATTGTTTATCCCATATCTGAAGTCTGCGTTTCCCTGCGTCAGTCACACATCTCTGGTCATACCTGGGAGCCCTGACACTCTGCGTGTTGTCTGACATACTCTTTAATTCAATAAGCACCCCAAAAAAAAAATAAAAAAGGATTAACTCTTTGAACGTACAATAGTGGTTGTGAAGCAGAAAGTCAGTTTATTTAGCACAATCGGTCAATTGCAGCTTGCCGTTGGCTGGAAACTGTACGTTTAATGTCACTGGAATGCACTAATCACCCAAAAAATATTACCGCCACCCCGGCGTGTATATGGATTTAACTCTTTGAACGTACAATAGTGGTTGTGAAGCAGAAAGTCAGTTTATTTAGCACAATCGGTCAATTGCAGCTTGCCGTTGGCTGGAAACTGTACGTTTAGGTCACTGGAATGCACTAATCACCCAAAAAATATTACCGAAAGCCGGCGTGTAAATGGATTTAACTCTTTGAACGTACAATAGTGGTTGTGAAGCAGAAAGTCAGTTTATTTAGCACAATCGGTCAATTGCAGCTTGCCGTTGGATGGGAACTGTACGTTTATGTCTCTGGAATGCACTAATCACCCAAAAAATATTACCGCCAGCCGGCGTGTAAATGGATTTAACTCTTTGAACGTACAATAGTGGTTGTGAAGCAGAAAGTCAGTTTATTTAGCACAATCGGTCAATTGCAGCTTCCCGTTGGCTGGAAACTGTACGTTTATGTCACTGGAATGCACTAATCACCCAAAAAATATTACCGCCACCCGGCGTGTATATGGATTTAACTCTTTGAACGTACAATAGTGGTTGTGAAGCAGAAAGTCAGTTTATTTAGCACAATCGGTCAATTGCAGCTTGCCGTTGGCTGGAAACTGTACGTTTATGTCACTGGAATGCACTAATCACCCAAAAAATATTACCGCCACCTGGCGTGTATATGGATTTAACTCTTTGAATGTACAATAGTAGTTGTGAAGCAGAAAGTCAGTTTATTTAGCACAATCGGTCAATTGCAGCTTGCCGTTGGCTGGAAACTGTACGTTTAGGTCACTGGAATGCACTAATCACCCAAAAAATATTACCGCCAGCCGGCGTGTAAATGGATTTAACTCTTTGAACGTACAATAGTGGTTGTGAAGCAGAAAGTCAGTTTATTTTGCACAATCGGCAAACTGCAGCACCAACTGTGCACGACAGCCACCAAAAAAAAAAAGGGTGTATGTCACTTTAAATTTTCGATTCTTTGATAGCTGTGGCCCTAAGTAACGATTCTGTGTCCCTGAGTAACGATTCTGTGTCCCTGAGTAACAATTCTGTGTCCCTGAGTAACAATTCTGTGTCCCGAGTAACGATTCTGTGTCCCTGAGTAACGATTCTGTGTCCCTGAGTAACGATTCTGTGGCCCTAAAGTCTCTGTGGCCCTAACTCTGTCCCTTAATACACACAGGTCTGTCTCTCTTGAATGACCGGAGGCTAATGGAGAATTCTAAGATGGCCGCGATTTATAGTGCTGGCTGGCTGCTGATTGGCTAATGCGATCACATGTCATGAATGCAATATGGGTCAGCGCGCCTTGTCTGCGCGCCTTCCCAGAGATCCCCGCCCCATCTTCTCTGTCCATTTTCTCCGTGGCCACACATGTCGCCGCCATTTTTGGGAAAATTCGATTCGTGCATCCGAAGTTTGCTAATCTTCGGATTCGTCGCGAATAGAATTTTTCCAAATCTTCGGAACGAATTCCACTTCGTCATGTTCGATTCGCTCATCTCTAATTATTACACTACAAAGTTTTAATCACTTACTTGGCTTTACTGCAAAAGAACCTTGATAGACCAAGCAAAACATGCCTCAAGGGTAAAAACAAAAAAGACTAAAGTAAACAAGTACAAGTATCAGAAAAAAAAAAGCATAACAGATGAACCAAAGTCAGAAGAAACTGCAAGGTGTAGAGTGTGGCTTCTACTTCGCTGCACAGTACAGATGCCATCACAAACAAGGTTGTTTCTAGAAATGTGCACAATGAAAACATTTGTTTTGTGTTGGATTCATTCGTTAGTAATTTTGTTTCGTCATATTGTTAGAATGATTCATTTTCTGAATTTGTTTTGTATATTCAGATTAATTTAGTATATTTTGGAAGA